TGGAGAGGAATATCAGAAATCCTCTTGGGACTTTCAGTCATACTACCCAGCCAGCTCATGGGGATACTTCTCCATCTCTTCCAAAACCCAGCCATTTGCACAATGCAAGAAAAGGAAATCATTCTTGTCCTATTCACTTTAGGCTGCTGTAACAAACTACCATGGATTGGGTGGCTTGCAAACAACAGTAATTCATTACTCAGTTGTTGAGAAGTCTAATATGAATGTGCAGGCAAATTTGATATCTGGTGAAGCTTAACTTTCTAGATTGTAGATGGTGCTTTCTCGCTTCGTTCTAGCATATTGGAAGAGGCAAAGCAACATGAGATCTGGGGTCTCTTTTATAATGGCTCTAATTCCATTAATTTGGGCTCTGTTTCCATGACCTAATCATTTACCAAAGATACCATCTCTTAACACCATCACATCTATATTTAAAATCTAACAAATGAATTATGAGGGAACAAAAACACTCCAACCACACCAATGCTACTTGAGTGGTTCATAGCCTCACCTCTGTATAGCAATCACTGGCGGTACTCTAAAAACACAGCCTGGTGAGGTGATTTCAATATACAGCCACCAAGGATTAGATCACTGTGTCGCACTGTGAACTTCTTTATCTGCTGACAGTGATATCTCATGAGGGCTCCAACTCATAGAGACCTATTGAGGTAAAGTCAGGGTTTGATAGATTTTTCTCTTTCAAAAATCTCCTTTGGGAGCCAGGGAATTAGCTCAGGGAATTACATTCAAGAGCTTGCCAGGTAAGCATGAAGTCGTGTGTTTGATCACCAGTACCAAAAAAATCTCCTTTGGCTGGGCATGGTGGCTCATCACTGCAATCCTGCAACTCAGGAGGCTGAGTAGGAGAACTGGCTCAAGTTTAAGTGTAGACTGAGTTGCATCGTGAGTTTAAGGCCCGCCTGAACTACATAGGAAAACTCTATCTCAAAAAACAATAATGATAACAACCTGGATGCAAAATCTTCTGACTGAACCTCAACTAGAAGTATTAGTAATATTAGCTTTTATTCTCTAGTAACTATGTATTAAGATTCAGATAACCTAGGAAGACCAATGTTCTTGTTGCCTGAGACTTAGGAAACTCAGATAGTAGCAGAGTTACTTGTTGCCTGAGACTTATACGTAGATAGTAACAAAGACACGAAAATGAATAGACTGCCCAAGATACATATAAGAAGCAGATATGAACCATATAATTATTTTCATTCTTACATTCTAAGAAGTACAAATTGGGAAAACATTCAACACTTAGGCAAGTTTTTCTGCAGGAATCTACAACTTACAGGGAGAATTGAACTTAGATAGTTTCTATTTACTTGTCATAGTCCTACAAAGAAAAAAGTTACTGTGGTTGGAAAATAACAAAAATAAAACACAAAAAGTTTTTTAAACTCCAAGTTCCATATGCACTAATGATCACTAGACCTGGACTGGTATGCATTATTTGAGTTTTGTGCTTCTATTAGTGACTATCAAGAGAGGTCCTTGTGTGTTTTGAGTGATAAATGGTAATAGAGAAATCTAAGGCCAAGAAGGAATCCCTTTCATCATATTGAATAGAATTTGCAAATGGATCTACTGCTGGCCAGGATGTGAAAATTTGGTTTGTTGGTGTTTTTCAATTGGAAGAAATTCACTACTGGCAAAATATGTTGTATTGGCATGAACATGTCTGACATGCCCAAGTCGAGTCTGTTTTCTGTAGGACAGTGCTGTTTGTTGTTTTCAGGTAGATAAGGATAGAATTATGTGTTGAGTCCTTGGTAAACTTTGATAAAAGGAATCCCGATCTTAATATTCTAATAAATACATTGTTAGAAAAATTATTTTTAGAAGAAATAAGAAATTCTAAGAGATTTAATGAGATTTGTAGGTAATTCAAGGCAGTCTGCATATATTTAATGCAAAGTAATAATGTGTATGGTAGTTTAGAATTGGCCCAAGGCTCTAGAGATGTAGCTCAGTAGTAATCACCTAGCTTGTGTAGGACCCTAGGTTTAACACATACTTAGCAAAGGGAGGGAATGTGACAAAGAGAAAAGAAGGGAACGGGGGGGGGGTGGGGGGGGGAGGAAGGCAAAGCAAAACTGAGTTTAGAATTACAGGAGGGACTCAAAATTCTGGTTCTCTTTCTTAGGAACTTGTGAGACCTTAGAAGTGTTATTCAACCTCCCCAATTCTCCTATCTGTATATTGGAGACCATGGTACTTCCTTGTTGGTTTGCTATGAGGATTGTAATAAATATTAGATATAAATCAAGATTTCTCAATCTCAGCCCTCCTGGTATTTGGAGTTGCATAATGCTTGGTTTTGGGGGCCTGTTCTGCGCATTGTGAGAAACATGGTAGCATTTTTATCCTCTAGCTACAACTACTCCTTCAAGACATGACCCCCAGTAATGGGAATATTGCTCAGTGGTAGAATTCATATTGGCAAGCATGAAGCCCTGGGTTTGAACTTAAGTAGCAAAAGAAAAAATCCTTTTTAAAGACATGACAACCAAAATGTCTCCAGACATTGATAAAAGTCTCCTGGGATGGGGGATGATGGTGGTAAAGCTGCACTGTCAACATCCAGTAGATACATGACTATTGAGATGTGTTGGTACTAGCAGACATCCACTAAGCATTAGCTATGATTATTAATAATATAGAAATTGCGACTATGTTAGGGATACTGAACCTTAAAGATATATATGTAGGATGAATTCTAAGAAAAACATCTCAGACTTCTTTCAGTTTGTGTAAACCACTTTTACTGCACTGAGAAAAATGTCTAAAAATATAATTTTCCTGCCTTAAATCTCCTGTTCCCACAAATCCTGCAAAACAGATATACTCATATGTTAGTCAACCATTTCAAACAATCATAAGTGCTCTAAAATAACTAACTTCTAAGTGACTATTTGTTAGGAATGGTGTAATTTTCAATTTTATATTGTTTGAGGCAAACATTTCTCTTCCATTGAATTCATTTCCCCTTTACTGACATTCATTGTCTGCAGAAAACCTCAACCCATACTGCATGGATATAATTATGGCAATCCACTCTGAGCTTCCTCTGCTACCAACGCCTCACCCCATTCTAACTTTGCTTTCTCCTCTGGCCTTTGTGCATATGAAAGGAAGAAGGCTCTTTCTAACAGGAGTCTTCGAGCCCTTGCTTCCTTTTTACCTGTAAGGCCTTGCTCTAGCATTTCCACATTCTTCATAACTTTACTTTTTTTCTCTCCTCCAGCTTTCTTCCATGAAGTCAGATATATTTCCTCCATCTAGAAAATCTCTTTGCCACTGACTTCTGCAGTTGCAATCTTATTTCTTTGCTACCTTTACAATGCTTCTGCTTCTTTTGTTGGCTCCTCTTTACTTACTCAGGCCTCACATGTCTGTCTTACTCACCATTATGTCATGAGATAGCTATTCTACTCACTCAACAAGACTCTGCTTCCCTCCATGCAGGAAAATGCTCATTTTCTGTCAAGGATTCATTTACCAACTATATGTGCTGTCATTTTCAAAATCTCTATCTTTTGCATTAAATCTATCTTCTGATCTTTTAATACATTTAACTGACTGTTTGCTGTATATATCTACTACGATGTCCAGTGGGTATTAGATAATTAGCATATACAAAGATGAAGACATCATGTGTTATCCTTAAAACTAAACCTTGATAAGTGATTCCTAAATCAGCATCCACTCAGTTGTCCAAGTCAAAAAAAAAGCTTTTAAAATGTATTTGATTAATGCGTCTTAATTTTATAAAATATTGGGTTTCAAATGTTTTTTTCCACTTATGCAAATTTTGAACATTTCCATCTCCCCATTACCCTCTTATTACTCCACTTTCCATACTCATTTATTCATTGCCTCTTGGTTACTAATGGTCTTTCTTCTATCTTCATGTCATCTTTTTTAGATTCCACATATTAGGGGAAAATGCAATGCATGTCTTTCTGAGTCTGGTTTATTTCATGATGCTCTATAGTTTCTTCCTGCAAATGACACAATTTTAATCTTCTTTGCAAATGGATAATACTCCATTGTGTATATATGCACCACATTTACTTTATCCATTCATAGTTGATGGACACCCAGGCTGATTCCAATACATGGGCTGTTATGAATAGAACTGCAACACACATGGATATGAGACATCCCTATAGCATGCTGACATTAATTTTTTTCAGGAATTATACTGGGGCCACATGGTAGTTCTATTTTTAGTGTTAGAGTTTTTTTAAGAACCCCAATACTGACTTCTATAGTAAGTAACTCTACTAATTTACATTCCTACCAGCTGTGTAGAGTTCATTTATCCCCATATCCTTGCCACCATTTATTGTTATTTGTTGGGTTTTTTTTATTTGTTATTGATGATAGTCATTCTCACTAAAATGAGATGGAATCACAATATAGTGTTTTGTTTTTTCTTGAATAGCTGGAGAATGAATCCAGACATTTGCACTGAGCTACATCTCTCATACCTTTTTATACTTTACTTTTGAGACAAGCTCTTGCTAATACTAAGTTGTCCAGACTTGGTTCAAACTTGCAGTGCTCTTGCCCCAGCCTTTCAGAGTACTGGTATTACAGGTGTACACCACTGTATCCATCTGGCTTGGCTCATACTGCAGTTTTGATTTGCCTTTCCATAATGGTTAAAGATGTCAAACATTTTTTCATATATGTATGGGCCTTTTTCAGAGGTTTTTTTTTTTTTGCTGTTAATTAGTTCTGAGTTCTTCATGTATTCCATGTATTAATCCTCTCTCTAAAGAGTGGCTGGCAAAGATGTTCTCCCATTCTATAGATGGTCTCTTTACTCTGTTGATTGTTTTCTTTGCTTTGAAGAAGCTTTTAAATTTGATACAGTCCTATTTGTTGGTTCTTGCTTTTCTCATGCTATTATAGACTTACTTGTGAAGTTTTTGCCTATGCCTATGGCTTCAAAGTTTTCCTCTATGTTTTCGAGAAATATGCACTACTTCATGAATTTACATGTCACATTTCCACAGACATCCTGCTAATTTTCTCTGTATGTTTCTGATTTCATTATATGTTCTCTCAATATGAGCACAAAACCTAAAAATCTAGGTATCTATCTTAATTATTCTCTCTTCCCAAAATTCCCACTGCCAACTAATTAGTAGAAACTTTCAATTATACCTCTTACATATTTATTGAATCCACTCATTCTTTTCCATATCTACCAACGCCACCATTTCATTCTTGAATTGCTTCATCATAACTGACTAACGTGACCTTGCTTTGCCCCAACCATATGCAATAAAAGACAGTTTTCTAAACTACAAACCTGATTATACCACTCTCCAGCTTTTTCTCCAGTAGCTCTTCAATGCCATTTTGAATTGAATTCAAAGTCCTTGAAATGCTTCGGTAGAGTTCATTAGTTGAAGACCGCTGCTTTCTTCAACAATATCACTGCAGACTCACTCATTTAGAGCACTATTTATTTTAGTTGCTTGAATGATTTTTGCTTTCTCTTCTACCTGGATCACTACACAGGTTGTTACTTGCTTGCATCAGCCCCTTCACTGCTCATTTATCTAATCCCAACTCACTCTGTGGAACCAAGCTTAAACATTACGTGCTCTGAAAAGCCTTCCAGACTCAAGTCTGGAATAGATGTCCCTCCTTCCTTGTGTGTTATATTCATCCCATATATCTTTCCTATGTTGGTGCTAATCATTTTTATTGTAATTGAGAATACATAAGTCTGTCTTTTCCAGTAGATTATAATCATAATCCAAGCACTTCCACCTCATACATAGTAGATACACAAGAAATACTTGTGGCATAAAAATTGAATTAACGTCTCCAAATTTTCTTGCCAAATACAAGGGTTTTGTTCTCTCTTAAATTTTTATTGCTATTTTTAAATTTTGAAAGATTTTTAGTACATTTTGCAGTATATGATTATTTTTATTGTAGGGAATTGGCACATGTACATAATACATCTTAACACTTTTTCATTTCCTTTTACTTTCTTTGTTTTCTTTGCTCCATCTCTTTGTTTTTCTAAATACTCAAATTATCTGAACATTCTGTCTTCTTAAAATTATTTTCCTTTGCTTACAGAGATAATTTAACATGCAATTTTTCTTTCTACTCATCTGAGAACTTCTAGTTCGTTTTTGCTGTCTGTTTTCCTGTCCCTAAGTTTATTTTATAATTTTTATTTGTATCAGTACACATTTGCAGTACATAATGGGTACATGCATTGTAGGTAATTGGTGTATGTACATAATATATCTCAATTCTTTATTCCACTTCCCCTGCAACCCTTATTTTTAAAATTTATTTTTGCCAGCATCAAATTCACTTATTTATTTTATGAGTCCTTATATAGTAAATTATCATAAATACAGATTCACAAACAAACCAAAACACATAAAAAGTATAAAAGACAATTATGCCAAATTAAGGCACACTTTTAGATACACTGTCTGCACTGCATTATAGCAATACTTTTTCCTCTTTGTTATTGCCTGACATTTGTTTTGCACATTATTTATATATTTAGTTTCTTTCATAAGAGAATTCACACAATATTCAAGCCTGTGGTTCTGATTCACTTCACTTAATATCGTTGTTTCAAGGTGCATGCATTTTCCTACAAATGACTCAAGTTTATCCATCTTTACTGCAGCAAAGTACTACATCGTGTAAAAACACCATGTTTTCTTTACCAATTCATCTCTTGATGAACATAGCAAGGCTGCTTCCAAGATTTAGCTGTTATAAATTGTGCTGCTATACACATGGATTTTCAATGTGATAGGATATCTTTAACTCTTTCTGAAAGATACCTAGAAGGAATAGCTGAGTCAAATGGAATTTCTAGTTTTAGTTTTCTGAGGAACCTCCATACTGATTTCCATAGTGGTTGTACCAGTTTGTACTCCCACCAACAATGAATAAGTGTTCCTTACTCCTCCTCCTCCTACACACACACACACACACACACACACACACACACACACACAGCCTCTGGCCATTTGTGACAGTGAGTTATTGTGGTCCTCCTTTGTAATTGTATTGGTATTTATCTGACTTTTCAAGCACACTACTGCTTGTTTTATGAAGCTGGATGTTTTATGAAGCTGGTGTTTGCTGCATATATGTTTATAATTGTTACAACTTCCTGTTGAATTATTTTCTTAACCAATATGTAGTGGTTTTCTTTGTCTCTTCTGAAAAGATGTGGTTTGAAACCTACTTGTCTGAAATTAGATAGGTTCTCCTCCTTTTTTTTCAGGAGCCTATTCCATGGAGTTGTTTTCTACTGTTTGATTTTTAATACGTGAAATTCTTTTTCAACTAAACCTTTTTCTTTTATACTGTATAATATTGGGTTTTGCTTTTGCTTAACTCTGCCAATCTGTGTCTTTTGATTGAGGAATTGACACTATTTTTATCTTAAGAGTTATTACTGAAATTTATTGATTTATTTCTGTCATTACATCATTTTCCTATTGCTGATTTCCTTATTTTTTCCTTTCACTTAGCAGTGTATTCCATCAATTTTATTCATTCTTTTTTACTTATTGGCAATGTTGGCTGCATCTAGCAAATCCTTGTGAATTTTTTATAATGCTGATTTCGTGGGTATGAAATTCTTGAGGTGTTCTTTATTATAGAAATACCTTAATTCTCTGTTAATTTTGAAGGGAAATTTTGCAAGATACAGAAGTTATCTTTCAGGGCTGCCTGAAACACAAGATGATACTCATAACTGAAGTAAATTAGGCCCACATGTGTAAACATAATATTGTCTACCTAGTGTGAGAAACTGAAAGAGTAAATTAGATAAAAAAATGTATAATACATATTGTGAAATGGGAAGCAACTGTTCAAAAGGAAAGAAAAATTGCAATTAGTGAAAAGAGTAACTCAGTAACTCAGCCTCTCTGACACTTGAAATCCAGACACACTGGAAAATTACAACTTGGGGAATAAAAGGGAGAAGTAGATCCCTGAGAACAAGGAAATATCTCACAGGAAAATTAAAATCTACAGAAGATAGAGGAAACAAAGTATAATGCAGAGAAGGAAAGGTACACCTACACTGAGAACAAGGAAATATCTCTCAGTTCATGGCATCACTGTCGTATAGCTCTGAAATTCTATCCTCACCCAATTGTTCATTTTCCTGACCATACTTTCAATAAAATTTTTAATCTTCTGGGTTTCTGACTGAAAATCTTTCATGAACTCTAATTCTTTTATAAAATTGTCATTCATATTGGTTATCACAGTTTTTTAAAAATTGCAATTAGTGAAAAGTCAAATTCCATTTGACTCAGCTATTCCTTCTAGGTATCTTTCAGAAAGAGTTAAAGATATCATATCACATTGAAAATCCATGTGTACAGCAGCACAATTTATAACAGCTAAATCTTGGAAGCAGCCTTGAAATACTACTCCAAGACCTCTCAGCCTTTTGTGTTTGTGTTAAGAACTCTGTTATAAATATAATGAATTTACATTTGTATGTGATTCATTGCCTTTTACAAACAGCTTTTATGATCTTGTTCCTGTGATTGACTCCTATAATTTGAATATAATGTGGCATAGAGAGGTTGTGTTTTGGTCCTGGCTATCTGGTGCTCTATATGCTTCACTTATCTGAATGTTCACATTTTTACTGATATTTGGGACATTTTCTGTCATTATTTCTGTGAACAAATTTTTCAATGCAATTTGTATTATCTTCTGATTTTTCACTTCAATTATTCTTAGATTAAAATTCTTTGTAACTATTGTAGCTGCTGGATCCATTTTGGTCTCTCTCTCTCTCTCTCTCTCTCTCTCTCTCTCTTTCTCTCTCTCTCTCTTTTTGTCAGTGCTAGGGATCGAACTCATGACCTTATGCTTGCAAGGCAGGCGCTTATGTCACAGAGCTAAATCCCCAGCTGAGTAGTAGGTTTTTCCAAGCATCACTGTCATATAGCTCTGAAATTCTATCCTCATACAATTGTTCATTTTTCCTGACCATACTTTCAGTAAAATTTTTAGTCTTCTGGGTTTCTGACTGAAAATCTTTCATGAACTCTAATTCTTTTATAAAATTGTCATTCATATTGGTTATTGTCTTCTGAAAGCTTTTGGAATATTTTGTTTTCTAACCCTTTTGTCATCCTTTATTGTAATCTGGATGTGTAGTTATGCTATGCTACCCATAAGTATCCCGTGGATTAGCTTCAGGAGAGGAGGGAGTTTGGAAAGGTATTTTGTTGACTTGTCACCTCATGTTTCTGTTGTTTTTGGTTTACTTTGTTTTGTGCTGAAGTGGTAGACACTTATAGTGTAAAGATTTTCTTTCTAGTGTAGAGAGATCTCTTTAGTTGCTTTTTTGGTGATGTAGAGAGGGCATAAATAACTATAGTCCTTTGCTTCAACCCCAAGATCTGATCACAAGCTATTTCCTATTTCATGTGGGAGCAGAATCCCATGCTCTCCTTGCAGCCCACAGCTCTCATTGGTGCATTCCACTGCCACACTTCTCCCTGAACCCTTCTGAGGTCCCAAGCTTTCACTTGGTCTCTGTAGACTCACTTTCCCTTTTCCATGAGCCATGAACTGAGAGATACAGAAAAAGTGTAGGTGTACCTTTCCTTCTCTGCATTATACTTTGTTTCCTCGATTTCTTTGTAGATTTTAATTTTCCTGTGAGATATTTCCTTGTTCTCAGGGATCTACTTCTCCCTTTTATTCCCCAAGTTGTAATTTTCCAGTGTGTCTGGATTTCAAATGTCAGAGAGGCTGAGTTACTGTTTACCATTCCACCATTTTCCCAAAAGTTATGTCCTTTAACTTTGGTCCTTTTCCAGAAACTCTATTTTTCACTCTTCTATATTTTTTCTCTACGTTAAGTGTCTAAAAAATACTAGTCATTCAAAAATAGGCCCTACTTCCCTAACTTGCAGGACTTTTTGTTTGTCCAAAACATATTCTGTTTCATTCTATTATCCCTCTTGGCTCCTCTACATTCAGCAAGACCATTCCTTTACCATTTTTAAAAGCCTCATACTTTTATTTATTTTATTTTTATTT